TTTTTTTTTTTTCTGTTGCTCTCTAACATCATTTCAGCCTTCTCCAACAGCGATTACTGAAGTGTATAAGGTGTAATGGTTTGTAGGTAATGCACATTAGATTTCAAAGAATTCTAATGTGCAAACCCTTTCTGAGTTGGCTACCACATTTGGTAGCTGGGTGTCGGTAGGTTTGGATGGTAACATGGCCCGATCAATCTTTTCACTTGTATGTTCCTTAGGGTCAGTAATGTATTCGTCATGAAATTTTATTTTTTTTTAACCATGGCACATGAGGTGCTTCATTACACACAATTGCTGCCCTGAAGATGTCGCTCAGTAAGGCTAAGATGGCCTGTGTGACTTCTCCCCTGACGAGCTGTGTAAGATTCTATTGAGGAAGGTAAATGCAGCATCATATGTTAGTTCACAATTCTCAAGTGATCTTTGAGTGAATTTACCTTCCACCTCAACACCAGTCATCATTATGCTTTTGTGGTTGACCATGGAGTAGCTGCATCATTACTTAGTTTTGCATTTGTTTTGTATCCTTCTGATGCTTCAGGATTTTTGAAAGAGGATTAGCATGCGTTGGAACTGATTACTTGTGCTTCCCACTTTGGGACAAATACATCGAGTATGAGATGTCACAACAAGATTGGCCCCGTGTTGCTACAATTTATACGAGGGTATTGGAGATACCAAACCAGCAGCTGGATAGATATTTTGAAGGGTAAATTTTTGTAATTTGAACTGTTTTGTTCTTGTAATTGGGTTGGTAAGGTGAAGTAACTAAGATTGCATGTTAATCAAAATATCTAGTTAGTCAATATATCTCTTTTGTCTAGATTCCTTGAGTGTGAAATTAGATTTATGGTATTTTCATCAAGGGTATTGGGGAGTCTATTTGTACCAAACATCATGCTATTAATACCTTCCTTTATACTGAGTATTCAGTAGTTCATATCCAGAATGGTGAGTTTTCTTTGTTCTTATTAGGAAGTTTCCAGATCATAATCTTTTAAATTGTTAGTTTTTGTTTACATGTCCCTTCTTTCTTAAGGGGCTCTCTCTCCGTTTACTGATATCATCATGCTTTATATATCTATATATACTGCTATATATGCTTTATGCATATCTTTCTATTTTATGCTTTCCTTATATTATTTAATAATGTTACCTAAGTTTATGTTATTTACAGATTTAAGGAGTTGGTTGCCAGTCGACCTCTGTCTGAGTTGCGGACATCTGACGAAGCTGCTGCCCTGGCCGTTGCAGAGTCTGAAGCTGTAGCCCAAGAAAATGAGGGAGATGTTCCTTCTAGTGCCTCAAAGACTATGAATGCAAGCTTAAAAGAAGCTGAGGAGTTGGAGAAGTATATTTCTGTCAGAGAGGAGATATATAAAAAGGCAAAGGACTTCGATTCAAAGATCATTGGTTTTGAGACAGCTATCAGGAGGCCCTACTTTCATGTGAGGCCCCTCAATGTTGCAGAGCTTGAGAATTGGCATAACTATCTTGATTTTATTGAAAGTGGAGATGACCTCAATAAGGTAACCGACTTTGTGTCTCTTGGACATATTTCCGTTCATATGGCATGCAGCTTTAGTTTCCCTTGTTACACGTTGACTTTCAGTTAAGTACTATCTGCCGCTTCATTTGCATTATTGGCTAAATCGTTGGAGAAGCATCTTATAAAACGGGATATTGATCTTGGAAGCATGGGCCTTCCATTTGCTTTCTATGAGGCTAAGTACTTCAAATTCTCATTTGAGTCGATTCTGGGTCCATGATGTGTTGTATGGCGATGTATTTGTTTTAAACTTCCAATGTTATGCATGCAGGTGTATTCTTAATTTCCTAACCATCTATCTGTCAGACAGGAGGGTCCCTCCCTTCGTATTTGAGGGGCCTCCCTTTTCCGTCGTCGGAGTACCCTTGTGCATTTCTCTCAGTACTGATGTTTATTTCTTCCATAAATGAACATTGAGCTTGAATTGCTGATGTGGCTTTATCTGTGCTCAGGTTGTTAAGCTATATGAAAGATGTCTGATAGCATGTGCTAGATATCCTGAATACTGGATTCGATATATTTTGTGCATGGAAGATAGGGGCAGTACCGAGCTTGCCGAAAATGCACTTGCTCGTGCCACTCAAGTCTTCGTAAAGGTGAGTAGATTTGTCATAGGTCGAACTTATTTCAAGAATATTGTTGTTCAATCAATCTTCATGTGATATGGTTCAATCTTCATGTGATATGGTTCAATCGGATCCGCTCCCCTAATTTTACTGTATGTGATGGTCAGATTGCGTAGACTTAATCGTGAACGTGAAACACCTGATACACATTTAATAATGATCTATTGAAACAGAGGCAACCAGAGATCCATCTTTTTGCTGCCCGATTTAAGGAAAAGCATGGTGATGTTACTGGAGCTCGTGCTGCTTATCAACTTGTGCACACTGGAATTTCACCTGGCCTTCTTGAAGCAATTATCAAGCATGCAAACATGGAAAACCGACTTGTAAGATTGGATGAGTGATTTGTTCTGGGTCTAATTAATACGGGCTCTATCAACTAGTAACAATATGTTTCGTTTGTTTAACAGGGAAACTTGGAAGATGCTTGTTCCTTATATGAGCAGGCAATTGCAATCGAGAAAGGGAAGGAGCAATCACAGGCTCTGCCGTTGTTGTTTGCCCAGTATTCTCGTTTTATATTCTTGGTACGTCTTGTAATTTTGAATGCAGTACTCTGTGAATTGTCTCTGTATTCCTCATTCATATCTTGGTGGTGCTTATGTCCAATGTTTGAATATTTATGCTTTGTTTGTCTAGATCTTATGTTTAAGGAATTATAGTAGCCTTGGAACATTGAGTTATTTTAAAAAATAGCAAGTTGGAACAACATCTTCCTAGAATTTTGCAATTTCTTCTATATTTTGATCACCGTCTCCAGGAAACTTGAAAATATGAATTCAGTCACTCTGGTTTATTTTAATATTGAGATAATTGAGGATTCTCATTTCTTTAATGAATCTTGTTGTTGCAAGTGCAAATTATGATTTCTTTTAAACTGTGTTCAATTTTTTTTCCCCCTTAGGTCTCTGGCAATGTTGAGAAGGCAAGGGAGATACTTGTTCAAGGTGTGGAGAGTTCCCAATTGTCGAAACCCCTTCTAGAGGTATCTGCTTGCTTCTCTGTTTTTCTTTTGCTCTCCCTGCGCTTCTATTTGAATCTGCTCGCTTCATATATAAATTAAATCTTGTAAACATTTCCGTTTTCTGATCTTTTTTTCTTTTATTTTTATTATTTTTTAACCATCCTAATTTCCTTGTGGTATTCATTTGGATTCACATTCTTGATTATGAAATATCGCAGGCTATAATCCACTTAGAATCAATCCAGACACTTCCGAAGCAAATCGAATATTTAGATTCCCTGGTTGATAAATTCATAGTTCCTAATCCTGAGAATCCTAGTATTCCTAGTGTTGATGAAAGAGAGGAGCTATCAAACATCTTCTTGGAGGTAATGACATTTGTTGCTACATCCCTATTTGCTTTGGATTTTGAAATTTAGCAATCGACATAGTTTTCGCTATATCTGGCAGACTACTATTATTAGCTTAACGTGTTTGCAAAATTGATGTTGCAGTTCTTGGATCTCTTTGGAGATGCTCAGACTATCATGAAGGCTGACAACCGGCATGCGAAATTGTTCTTGCACCGCAAAAGCACATCAGAGTCAAAGAAGCGCCATGCGGACGATTATTTAGCTTCTGACAGAATGAAACTTGCAAAATCAGTTAATCCAACACCTGCTCCAGTGATGAGTGCCTATCCCAACATGCAGAATCAGTGGGTAGCAGCTGGTTATGGTGCTCAGACACAACAATGGAACCCTGCCTATACCCAGCAGGTGTTTTTCATATTTTTTATCTACTGTTTTTTATAATCTATCAAAATATTAATATTATCGTTTTCCTCTCTTTTAGGCTGCTTATGGCGGTTATGGAGCGAGTTACACACACCCACAAGTAGCTGCATCAGTGCCTCAAACTGCCACATATGGAACTTATCCTCAGACTTATGCAACGCAGGTAGCTTGATTATGATTTTTTTTTTGTCACTTAAAATTCTTTTGGACATTTTTTTTTAATATAAGAGAAGCAATCTAATAATAATGTTAAAACTATTTCACACCCATACTTTTCAATTTATTAGATCTTTTTAGTTTGTTGTGTTCATGTTAGTTTTTTGAAAATTTCTAGTTTCTAAGTTCTTGTTATTACTTTGATTTGCATTTTGGTATCAGTGTAGCCGCATTTACTTTTATGTACATTTGAATGCATATGATTGTGCCGGGCACAACAATATTTTTTAGGATAATGGTATTCATCGGCCACAGATTCTTTATTCATGCAATCTTAATTTATGCAGGCTTTGCCCCAGCAGCAGGCGTACGTGCAGCCAGCAGCTGGTGCAACTTTGACCGCAGCCCAGCCGCCTGCTGCTGCACCTCCTGCTACATATTACCCTAGTTACTACTGAGAAGGTAATATAGGCAAAATCGAGATCAGTTCTGCAACGTTTTTTTAACTGGATTAGTAGTCGGATTTAAGGGACCAACACTATCAATTGCATGGATGGGGTTTAGTTGTCAAGTCTGTATGAGGATATGTTTAATCTAAGGGATCTTAGATTTTTTTTGTTCAAATTGTAAGGAGCCATCCTTTTTTTTTTTTTTTTTTTTTTTTTTTTTTTTTTTTTTTTTTTTTTTTTTTTTGGAAGAAAATCGTAATCATACTATCTCGTGAGCTTTATTTTATCGACACAACAGGTGATATGAATGTAATTTGCTCGGCTGATTTTTGGTAATTTTGCTCGAGTTCATAATGATTTTTGGGGTTTTCATCTATTATGCTTCCATGAATGTTGCGAAGATGGTGGGTTTCATCTATTATATAACTGTTGATTACACCAAAATTAAGTTGATTAGACTTGGATCTTTATTTTGTCTTCTTGATTGAGTTTCTTTACAATGCCCCATTGCATTTACACCAAATAATGAGCAAATACAAAAATCACCCTCAAGGACGATTGCCCGAAATAATTATGAGAGCCATGCTCCAAGAGAAATTATGAACACTATCATGTAGATATAAACCAATATAAATAAGAGTTTTCATTAGGAAAAAAGGGCATGGATAATTAAATGTCTTGGCTAACAGCTCGCCTGTTCATACACTATCTTCCATGGAGATATTTTGCTCACCTCACTAAATTCATTGGGGATAATTTTGGTCTAAAAAGAGAGAAATAGGAGAGAAAAAAGATGTTTATAAAGATGTTGGGGGATAATAACTATAGTTGTTTGCTTCTCATTGTCATTTCAATCGAGGAGTAAAATGTTTCTAAAGATGTTGGAGATAATTATTCTAGTTGTTTGCTTCTGATTGTTACTGGATGTTGTTTCTGACATATTTCGAACATTTTCTGTCGTTTGACTATGTTGACTACTGTGACAAGGGGAGATGGGTTGATTAAGTCCTGCGTGAATACAATTCGCTTTGATTATTCTATTGGATTTAGTTTATAGGAGGTTTTTTTTTTGATAGTTTGATGTATTTTGATTGATACTGTAGTCCTCTTAGTTGTTTTGATAGGAATTTGTTATGTTGTTCTAACATTATAGGTGTTTGAATAGTTAACTTCTTGATGTTTGTTCATAGTTATTTGTTTTGTTGTTCTTAGTTGTTTTGTAGGTCATCTTCAAGAATCAATGAATTTGAACTGAATGCCTAACACGAAGATTGTCAATCAACCAAAATAAATTAAAGAAAAGTTTGCTATTTGTTTATTATAAATTTATTAAGTTCTTAGTATATGGTATAATGGTATACTTGTTAATTATAATATGTATTATGGAGACCTAACCATTTAAGAAAAGAATTACATAATATATATCTTACATATATTCACTTACCATATGTTTTTTGTATTAATGAGTTGGATTCTATACTATAATTAATTTCTCTTTTATAGGACAAGGAATGAGCGACAAGGATTATAAAAGGACGAGATGCCCAAGAGTAAACGATCCTTGATTTGGAGAAAATAAGGAGGATTTTGAAAGATTCACAGCAAGATCTCATAGATTTGGAAGATCGACTATTTAAGAAAAGCCATGTTTCTCCACATTTGAAAATGCAATTATGAAGTTCTCCAAATCATTTTCACCGATTCTACAAGATGGAAAGTTATTTTAAATGAAGGATGTTGGAGTTCATAGCAACATAAGGCGTCCTTAACCAGTTAGGATTTGTCTTTTTTATATGTAACACTGTATCACGCTTTGAGAGTTCATGAGATTGGAGATTATATTTTTTAGATTGTGAATTCAGAGATCCAATTTTGCGTTCCTGCAGCTATGAGGGCTGAAGTTTAATTTTGGGTATTTGGGATATATACTATCATCAGCTTGGAGGGTTTCAAGTAGTAGCCGCGAGTCCATGTTGTGGCCAGAAAAGTAGCTATCAGGATCGGATATAGTTGTGATAGGATAAGGAGAGAGTCTCTTATTTATAACTTCACACTATATACTGCTAATGAAAAAGTTGGTAATGAAAAAGTTGGTGAGATATAGCGGGACGCTCCCTAAAAGCAAATTTATAAATTATTGCTTCCACTTAAATTTTGTTTTCTACATTGAACTCCATAACATACATTTTTTTTTTTTTTTTCAAAAATAAAGAAAAAGTGGTAGTAGTGAGAGTTCTATTTCTAGCCCACATGTTGATTAAAAGTTTAAAACCATGGAATTTGATGAAAGTCATCAACTTTTGAAAGGGCCACTACTCCAAACTTTATTAAATGTCACAAATTGTCCAAAACTTTTTATTTAAATTTTAGGATTATGACACTTAAAGTAATGGCTATCTCTAATGTTGGTGGATGCAATTGTAAGGTTGGTGGTGCCATTGAATTTTGTGCAGATCAAGGACTTTGTACTCTTGTAATTTTTTGTGTGTTTTTTATGTTTATATTTTTTTTTGGGGGGTTAATCAACCAAATCTCATTATAGATTTTCTTTGTTGAACTTTTATGGTAAAAGGTCATTAGTGTTTAAAGAAAATGATTACAATCTTGAATTACTTCAACATGAAACATCTAATTTAGGCTTTTGCTTATGTGGGTGACTAATATTACACTATTCACAAAAGTATTGAATAGTCATTTAGAGTGTGATTGTAACCGATAAAAACCTGTTTTGATTGGATCTTAAATTAAAGTGAGTTATTGTGAATTAATAAAGTTAATTAAATCAATGATTGAGTGAGATTTTAAATTTATAATTATTAAAATATAATAATTCAAACTAATGTGATGTAAAAGTAATAAAAAGATTATTGAAAGTAATATGTAGTTAAAATATATGAGTGGATGAATAATGAATTAAAATCATGCGATGTGAGCAGACAATTAATTGATGTTATTTTATTATATTAATAATATTGAGGATACCGATCCGATTGAGTTAAATTGAATTAGATTTTAAGTTAAACAGAATGTAAGAATTGCTGATCGGTCGAACCTAATAATAATATATGTAAAATAAAAAAAGAAAAAAAAAAAAAAAAAAAAAAAAAAAAAAAAAAAAAAAAAAAAAAAAAAAAGAGACCAACAAACAAGACTTTACTGTCAAAGCTGCCAAAATAGCTTGATGCATACATATGTCAGTATTTACAATATTTTGTTATGATTTCTAAAGTGCTTTTCTTTTTCAATTTTTTGAAGTGGGTCCCACGGTTTGTCGGGACTTGTCTTACCCTCCCGTGTTTGTCCCCCGCTTCTAGAAGAAGAATGCCCGAAATTTTCATTATATCGTCGATATCATCTCGAATTACCCTTTTCAATTTATCGTCCAGGTGAAAACTTGGTCAAATAGTCAATAGCTTCAGGTGAAAACTTGGTCAAATAGTCATTATATTCACAATTTTTTTGTTTTTTATTCATTTTTTTCTTCTTCAGTTTTTTCTTTTTTTTTTTATTTAAATTTTTTATTTTTTTTTTTTATTATTGCTATTAATTTCTTTGATGAGTTGGATATTAAAATGATGCTTTATAATAAATTAATTTACTTTTGTATCATGCAAAAATAGTACAAAAAGACATTCAACTTTCATATGACAATCTTTGTGTGTGTTTTTGAGGAGGAAGAGATATATATTACTATTTTGTATTAGTATTTTTTGTGTGGTCTTGTAAAGGTTGTGCTCGTTTTTTTTATCTTGTTTTATAATTTTCATCCATGGTTTAAATTTTTATCGAGAAAACTCAAGAATCATGTTAATACACTCAATTAAGTTCACTCGAATTAAGCGCACGGGTGATTGGTTTCGTCGAAAATTCATTTAACTAACGAGTCGAGTTCTAAAGGATATGAAAAATGCTCGAATCAAGTTTGTCTCTAAGCGCTCGGAATTTAAGATTAGAATTGATCTAGCGTAAGTGGTAAAATTGTTAATAAAAAAAATTGAGTTTGTCTAGTAAATATTGACAACGATTAGTTGGTTTACACTCGTGCTTAAACTAGATATAGCCAGGTGCTGGGTTGGGGTCCGGCCCGACGGGCCAGCGAGCTTCCCATAGGTGACCCTTAATCGACCCGCCAAAACCCAAGGGCCGGCGTCCCGGTCCAGTCCCAGATCGCCGGGACCAAAGAAAAGAAAAGGAGAACCGAACATGGCCCTTAAAGCCACGGACGGCAGGGCGGGCCAGCCCGTGGTCACGTCTAGCTTAAACACTTATTAACAAAACGAAAAAATAAAAAAGGAAAAAGGCCAAAAAAGAAATTGTTGGTACAATACCAGAAAGCAAAGCAATGTCAGTTGTACCCCGGTGGGCCCCATTTATGATGCCGTTTGCGGCACACCAAGCCGACAACGGTGGCCCGCCACCACCGGAACTTCCTTTACCCCCCCCCCCACCCTTTTTTTGTTTGCCCTTAGCTTGCTCCCCCACACCATTTCCCTTCACCCAACCCTAAATCAAAGCGAAAAAGGATCAAAAAGAAAACCCATCAAATTCTCATCCTAAAATTGAATTTTTTCGATGCAGAACAAGCTTGCGCCGAGCGGCGGAAGAGTGATTTCCGGCTGTCTAATGTCGAATTTGACGAGGGAGGGGAGTGATACGGTGATTTCGTCGGAGGATTCTTCGTACCCGGATGAGCTGGAATTGGGCCTCGGGTTGAGCCTCGGCGGAGGAAGGGTTAGGGCTAAGCGGGCGCCGCCGCCGGCGGCGGCGGGTGGTGGGGTTGCTTGGGATCAGTATACAAGGATCCTGACGGCTAAGGATTTTCCTCCGGCGGGCTCTGCTAAAGCTCCGTCCTCGTCCTCATCGACTTCTTCCTCGTCTGTGACAAAAGCTAACGTTAATAATAATAATAATGGCTCCTGTGGCTCGAAAAGGACTGCTGAGTCGCCTTCTTCACCTCCGGGCCGTCCTGCAATTAGGTACTGTCACCTTTTGATTCCTCCTTTTGATTCGGTTTTATTGTCTGAGTTTTTTGTATGTATTGTTTGGTGGTGTTGATGGGATGCGAGTATCTCTTGCTAGTAATATATGTATTATGTTTTTCAGCTTGCCCAGATTGTGTTTCATTGTTTTTGTGATGTCAAATTGTGATCGGTTGAGTTATCTGATCTTTCTCTTTTAGTTTCTGTTAATCGAGTAATTGTAAAATTGGTAACAATGGTATGAACTGAACTTCAAAGAAAAAGTTGGGTTTTTGCCCCCCATTTTATTCATTTTCTTTTTTGGGGTCTTGCTTGAATCTGCTGCAGCGAATGCTACACAATTTAGTTTTACCGATTCTTGAGGAATCTGAGACACGGGGGCTCGGAGGAAATTCGACTTTCTTCTTTGCTTTTGTTTTCTTTTTTTCTTGTTTAATTCTTTTAAGCATTTGTAAAGTGAAATTTCACATTAACAAGATCTGAAGAGGACCTTCAACTCTCTTCATTTCCATATTAATTGATAATAAAAAAGAATATGATGGTTATTGTATAAATGTGTTATTGTAAGTCTTACAATTGAAGCAACCAATTCGAATAAACTTGGAACAAGCTGAGTTTATTTTAATCATATATGCTAAGAACACGATGTTTTTCTAATAAAGTCGAAAAAAATCTGAATTCTTAACTAACTAGCTATTCAATAAATAACCTCTAGTGTTAGTAATAGTTATCATTGACGGATAACTAGCATTTTTTTTTTTTTTTTTTCCTGGCGTCATAATATTTCTTCATAGGTATCACATTTTGTTTTATTTTTATATTTTAAATAAACCCACTTAACTATTATGGATAGTTTAAAATGGTAATGTCAATCTCCTGGGGGGTTAAAATGTTTTCTTTTTCTTTTTCTTTTTCATGTTGGAAGCAGTCAGGTAGTTGGATGGCCTCCTGTCAGAAACTACAGAGTGAACAGCTTGGCCAACCAATCAAAATCACCAGCCGCTGAGGACTTCATCTTGGCTGCTGATAAATGTAAGAGCAAGAATTCAATCTCGGACAAGGCTAATCATGATGGAACCACAAACAATAATAATGCAAAGGAAAACGGACCTCCTCGTAAAACTTCGTTGTTTGTGAAGGTGAACATGGACGGTATTGCAATCGGTAGAAAGCTTGATCTGGGTGCTCATAGTTGCTATGAGACTTTAGCCCGTGCACTCGATGAGATGTTTAGACCCCGTGCAATTGTTGTTGCAAGAGGTAAATTCTCTGTCCTCTTAGATAATCTGATGAAAAACTCATTTTCTTGGTCATTTCCTGTTTTCATATGTTACTGTAAAGCTTAGTATGATGTTGAGTAGTCCTTTTGCTAGTTTTCTTGTTATCGATCCTCCCCACAGCAACTTATAGATCCTGGTTGCTGGTGATTTTGCATAATACATATAACTTTTCTAAGAAGAAACAGGGGAAGATTGCAGATACTACCGCTAGTTTTTATTTTTTATCCTGATTACCAAAAACATCCAATTATCTTTCAGAATTATACGTAGCCTTTAAGGTATGACAAGATCCCCATGAGCTTTTCCCCTCCCCTTTTGATTTGTCTGTTGGTAATTAAACTGATCGTGAAAGATAATTTTATAATCATTTATGAGATCCAAGAATAGCAAGTACCCTGTATTGTTTAGTTATCAGTAATCCCTGCCAATTTGTGTTGTATATCATTCGTCTTTTGTTATAACTGAATAAAAGTGATATGGTACTAGGAATGTGGAAAGTTTGATGGTTACTCATAAGTTTCTATCTTTCTACGCAGCCTACACGTAGAAATCCTTCTCTGAGATTAAAATTCTGTTCAGAAGTCTGAATTAGTTTTCTCAGTAGTTTTATCTAATTGGTGGCTTGTGATGTTACTGTTTTAGTATCCAATGTGGTGGAGCAAGTTGTCGTTTCTGGTACAAGACAACCTTTTCGATTGTTGGATAGTTCGTCTGATTTTGTGCTCACCTATGAAGACAAAGATGGCGACTGGATGCTTGTTGGCGATGTTCCCTGGGAGTATGTTGTTGAATTTCACTATATTTATTATGAATAACATTTCCCCTAAGCAGTACAATAACGTGTCGTTTAATTTGAAATCCAAATTTCCGAAGAGGCATATGTTTGCTAAATTTTTGTTTCGCGTGCATCACAATCATGCTCAAGATCCAAACCAGATTGACATTTGGTTTTTTGTCTAATTATTTCTTTTTCTATCAGGATGTTTCTAAACACAGTGAGGAGACTTCGAATCATGCGGGCAGCCGAGGCTAATGGACTTGGTACCTGAGTTTTATAATATGATCTTTGTATGCATACTTGATACACATGCCAAACCCAAAAAAATAAATAAATAAATAATTGACAATATTTATGAAATTTTACAAATGTCTCATTGAATACATTATTTGTTTAACTATTGCTATGTTGTTTTGGTTTCAGCTCCCGGGTCCAATGGAAGAACCAGGAAGCCATCAACAGCTCCAATATAGAGTATATGTATGTATTCCCTCTCAATCGTGCGTCTTCTGGAATTACGAGGATAAATAATACATACCCCATATATCTGGAAAGAATAATATTCGAGCAATTTCTGGTTCTTGGCATGGGTTTGCTTGAACCCACAAATTGTTATGGTCATTTTTCACATTTTATCACCAATACTATTTCAATGATTCCCTTTCTGAGGGCGTGCACTTGCGTGTGGACGACTCAAATGCACTTGCCTTCTTTTTCCTTTTCCCTTTTTTTTACCTATCGTATAGGGAAGTATACCAAGAGTTTCCATTGGATACACACTTTGTAAAGCATGGGATTGCCTATAGTTTTCCACCTTCCTTTTTATTTTATTTTATTTTTGTTCTTGTGAGTCTGACTAATAAAATTTCACCTGGCTTAATGGAAGTATCTTTTCCTGTACAAGGTTGTTTGTTGTGTACATGCTGTTTCTCCATTTTGGTTTGTACATTTGATTTAGATTCTTGAAAATGCTTTTTGTTTATGATATGGTATCGTTTTCATGTTCTGTGTGGGATGGATGAATCTGTCAGACAATCATTCGGTGACTTAAGTGACGAATGTTTTTACCAAGACGTTCGTAGACGATATCTATCACACAGTTAATATCACCCGAGGAATTTCACCAAGAATTTGGTCTAGTTCTTGGATTTGCATCATGCCATCATCTTTGTGCTTTTATAACTAGGTTAATCACAGGAAGTACCCAAGAAGCTCAGGTGAATTGCCAAAAAGAAAGAGGCATCTTGCTTCCAAATTTTCACTCACTTTGTGTATTTTGATGAGCTAATAGTACTGGTTATCGGTTCGGCAAGGGATATTACAAATTGCAATATTCATTATTCTGAACGATGACACTGTTTGTCTGCAATTAGGTTATAGTCTTATATATGGTTATGGTTTTTCCTTACAGTCACCCAGTATATTTTCATATTAGCCACATGTTCAGTTATTCATATTTACTAATTATGTAATACAAGACAAAGACAATATCCAGAATTTTATATGCACTTGTTCAGTTCAGATTTGCTGATTATGTAATTGAGACATATAAAATATGCAGCAGACATGGCCAAACGGCCCGCCGGTGGGTCGGTGGACCTCTTATGGTGGAACCGAAACTGGCCTCGGAGAAATACGGTTTTGGTTCCAACAACTGGCAGACCTGGTTCCGGTTCAAGCCCTCGGTGTTCCGGCCCGGCCAACATATTTTATTTATATATTATTTTTTACAAAAAGATGATCAATTGGTATTTTATAAATATTTTTTTTTAATAAAATTCTGTGATGATCGATTGCCAAATATATAGAGTGAGGTATGCAAACACATTTTAATGCGTGGAAATTCTATTACAAGACTTTTTGTAATTGTATCAATTTAAGACTTAAATTTTGTTCTTTCTCAATAAAAGGCTTACGTTATAGATTATTCTCAATTTAAGACCTACTCTTTTAGTTAACTTTCCATTATAAGACCCAACTAACTTTGTTTTTTGACATAAATATGTGAACCATTTATTATGTGAACAAAATTATTATTATTATTATTAATATTATTATTATTATGTTGAAATTTATATTTTACATACTCATAATCAAAAAATAATAAATATCTTTAGTAAAATTTTCTTAAAAAGAAAATGAAACTATATAAATTATATTTATGAAATATTTCAATAATAATTATACTAAAAAAATGATAAGTGAACTTGAAAAAATGTAATGAAAATATTATTTTTATTAATAAACTAATATGTACTGTGGTATCAAATTTTGCTTCCTAAAAGAAAAGTAAAAATCCTGAAAAGCTAAAATAAAGGATTTTTTTATTTTATTACATATTTATATTATTAATAAAAAAATATTTTAATTGCATATTTTTCAAATTATCAATTTTTAAAAATAATCTTTGTTAAACTTATGCATAATTGTAATTTATATAGTTTTATTTTCTTATTAATGCAGTTTTACTAAAGATATTTTTATTTTTTATTATAAGTATGTAAAATATAAATTACAAGAAAAAATAAAAATAATATTTTTGTTAACATAATAATTGATTAACATATTTATGTCAAAAAGTAAAGTTAGTTGAGTCTTGTAATGAAAAGTTAACTAAAATAATATGTCTTAAATTAAGAATAATTAAAATATAAGTCACTTATTGAAAAAAATAAAATTTAAGCCTTAAATCCTCCCTATATATAATTCCCGAATGTGTTGAGCCTACGTGGCTGCTTCTGGTGCTTCGGAATCCTACTTGGCGAAGAATCATGTTTCGTAATTAGGTTTAGACAAATAATATTGATATATTAACTAGTACAACACTCGTGTATTACACGGGTGTTTGCTAATTTTTTTCTTAAAATCTAAAATTAATGAGAAAAAATAGTTTGGAAATTTAAATACCTTTTATAAGAATATATATATTACTATATATTTATTATGACACTTTTTATTTGTGCAACTTACTTGTATTATATTATACTAATTTTTTTTTTAACTTACAATATATAACTACATTACATATAAATATATCAATTGAAAAATAATTTTATTTTTCTAATGAATTTCAATAAATATTATTATTTTTTATCATTATAAAGATAAATATAATTTATTTATTTCATATATATACAATATGGATGTCAAATCGAAGATCATCAAAAGATGATTAATTTGATATATTATATATGTAAAACCGATAAAAAATACAAAAGTTATCAACTTTTAAAATACATTTATAATTCAATAGCTTATTGAAGGAAACAAATCAAAATTCAGGGATATATTAGTCACTTAGTGACTCACTAAAACCGATAAAAAATACAAAAGTTATCAAGTTTTAAAATACATTTATAATTCAATAGCTTATTGAAGGAAACAAATCAAAATTCAGGGATATATTAGTCACTTAGTGACTCACTATGTAAAATTACCAAGAATTAAAGGGTTATATTAGTAAAAGTGATATTAAAATACCTAAATTAGCTAAATAATATTTATGGAATACCCGAACCTAGATTATTAATTATTAATATATCAAAAATTTTTATCCAAACCTAATTACGAAGCATGATTCTTCGCCAAATAGGATTCCGAAGCACCAGAAGCAGCCAAGTAGGCTCAGCGCATTCTGTAATTATATATAGGGAGGATATTGTAAATAGATTTTTTTTTTTTTT